ATTAATCTATATTTTAGGAATATCTTTTTAGAGGATATTATTATATCTTTTTATATCTTTGTTAGAGGATATTTATGATTTTATTTTGTGTATAAATAGCCTAGTGAGGTAGCTCAATGTAATTCATTGTAAATCATTATTCCTTATTTTGTAGCCGTCATTTAATATATTCTTTTGCCTTTCATCTCTTATTTGTGCACCAACAATTGGTATAAGAGCTCCGGTTCGAAATCCACGGGGAAAATGGGAAACACAAGAGAACAGTGAGGTGTTATATGATAATCGTTGTTTATGATTCTGGGGATTTGGGAAACACTGCTTTATTGATTTTCTGCGTAAATTGCACAAGGTAGAAGATGAACGGAAACAGTCGCGATGTCAATTCCAAGCTTTAAGTATTTGATGGCAAAAACTGGAATCGTTGGAAGATCCAGATGCATGTGTTATTTGGTTCTCAAGATGTGTTAGATCTTGTCACCGATGGTTATGATCTGTTAGAAGCAGACGCAATAGAGGCACATAAGATAACACAAAAGGTTCTAAGGAAGAAAGATCAGAAGGCATTGTTCTACATCCATCAATGTGTGGATGCAAATGTGTTTGAGACGATTGTTGATTCTGAAATAGCAAAGACTGTGTGGGACAAACTGGTTAGATGTTATGGTGGTGACGCATCAATGAAGAAGGTGAATCTTCAGTCTCTCAGAAAGCAATATGAGAATCTCAACATGAAGGACAACGAGAAGCTTTCTGAGTACATCTCTAGAGTGATTCTGATCACTAATGGGATGAAAGCTTGTGGAGAAACCCTTTCTGAACGAATAATCATTGAGAAGATCTTGAGATCTTTAACTTCTCAGTTTGATTACATTATGGTAGCAATTGAACATTCCAAAGATCTGAGCACCATGAGAGTTGAAGAGCTGCAAAGTAGTCTAGAGGCGCATGAGTTGTGTATGACTGCGAGAACTTCTGAGAGGGAAGTAAAGCAGCAGGCTCTGAAAGTAACTTCTGGTAAGAAGTATCAGAAGCAGACTTGGTCAGAAGCCAGGAAGAAAACTTAGGGTGGTCAAAGGTCAGAAGCTTCAAACTCTAATAGGAAGAAGAATGTCTAGAAGAGAAAGGAGAAGTCTGACAAGAAGAATGTTCAGTGTCACTGTTGCAAGAACTTTGGTCACTATGTCAAAGATTGCTGGTCAAACAAAGAAAGGAAGTAAAAAGAAGCAAATATAGCCAAAGGAGAGTCAGATGATGAACCTGTGCTATTGTTGGCTTCTGAACCTGATGATCTGCATTCATCAGAATGGTGGTATATGGACACAGGATGTTCAAATCATCTTACTGGAAACAAGAAATGGTTGGTTGATTTTGACTCTGGGAAGAGTACAAAGATCATATGTGTTGATGATAAATACCTCAATGCAGAAGGTATGGGAAATGTCAGAATCATTCTAAACAATGGGAAAGTAGTAGTGATCCAGAATGTATGGTATATACCTGGCATGAAAACAATCTGATGAGTGTGGGACAACTGATTGAGAAAGGTTTTTCAGTTACCATGAAGGACAATCTTCTGAAGTTGTATGACTGTAATCAGAAGCTGATTATAGAGTCAGAACAGGGAAAGAACGGAACATTCAAGGTGAATGTTAGAACTGCAGACTCTGAATGTCTTAGTGCAACAAGTGTTGTCAAGGAGAGTGAGTTGTGGCACAGAAGATTTGGTCATCTGAATTTCAGAAGCATAGGGCATCTGAAATCAAAGAAGCTGGTACATGGAATTCCTATAATCAAGAAGCCTGAGAAGTTATGCAAGGTGTGCATGGAAGGGAAGCAACCAAGATTACCATTTGCATCAGAAGTAGCTATAAGAGCAAAGCATGCCTTGGGAGTAGTGCATTCTGATGTGTGCAGTCCATTTCTAGTAGCATCGATTGGAGGGAATAAACATTTTGTGGCATTTGTTGATGAGTTCACCATAATGACATGGGTATCTCTCATAAAGTTCAAACACAAGGTGTTTGCTGAATTCAAGAAGTTTATACTGAAGGTTGAGAATCAAAGTGGCCAGACTCTAAAGATACTTAGAACTGATGGTGGTGGTGAGTATAACTCCATAGATTTCAGAAGGTTCTGTGAGGAGAATGGAATTGAGCATGAGGTTACTGCTCCCTATACTGCTCAACACAATGATCTTGCTGAAAGAAAAAACCGTACTTTGCTTGATATGGTGAGAAGCATGCTGAAAGAGAAGAAGCCCCCTCATACTCTATGGGGAGAAACTATTGCCACTGCATGTTATGTGCTCAACAGATGTCCAACAAAGAAATTGAAGGAAATAGTTCATATTCAAAAGTGGATCCGAGATAAGCAAAGTGTTAGTAATTTGAAGGTGTTTGGTTCTGTATGTTACAAACATGTCCCAGAAGCCAGAAGACAGAAGTTGGATGGTAGAAGTAAAGTAATGCTACTAGTGGGGTACCACAGTACAGGTTCGTACAAACTTTATTGTTCAGAAACTAACAAAGTTGAGTTCAACAGAGATGTCATTGTAAAGGAATCATAAGTTTGGAATTGGGAAAGGTCTCATCCTGACTCTGATGAGAGAACTCCTGAAGAAAAGTCAGAAACACATGTTTCTGAAGCTGGTAAAGACTCTGACTCTGAAGAAGATACAAAAGGAGAAGATGATTCTGACTCCGATGGTGATCCAGACTCTGAAGACAATCAAGGTTTTGGACAAAGTCCAATTTCTGAAGCAAGTTCTTCTGAAGGGGAAAGTTCTAGTGTCCAAAGTTCTGAAGGTCCAGTTCAGAGGCAACAAAGAGTCAGAAGCACCCCAAGAAGATTTGAAGAATTTGACATGTTACAAGACACTGAAGTAGACTTTGAAGGAGAAGTTATTCAGTGTGCAATGTTAGTAGACTTTGAACCCGTGAGTACGGAAGAGGCTCTTAAGCAGCAAGTTTGGTTACAGGCCATGAAAGAAGAACTTGATGCTATAGAGAGACATAAGACTTGGAAGCTGAAAGAACTTCCAAAAAGAAAGAAAGCCATCAGCTTCAGATGTGTTTTCAAGCAGAATCTAAAGCCAGATGGATCAATTAGAAAACACAAAGCAAGATTAGTAGTAAGAGGCTTTCTACAGAAGTCTGAGATGAATTACTTTGAAGTGTTTGCACCTGTAGCGAGACATAAAACAATCAGACTAGTGATTGCAATAGCTGCTAACAGGAATTGGCCTCTAATGCACTTAGATATAAAATATGCATTTCTGAGTAGTCTATTACAAGAAGAGGTATACGTATCACAACCTCCTAGGTTTGAGAAAAAAAATCAGGAAGGGATGGTGTTCAGATTACACAAAGCCTTGTATGGATTGATTCAAGCGCCTAAAGCTTGGGATTTGAAGATTAATTCGTTTATCAAGGAACAAGAGTTTCAGAAGTGTGAGATAGAGTATGGTGTTTATGTTCAGCATACTTTAGAAGGTAATATGATTCTGGTCTGTTTGTATGTTGATGACATATTACTCATAGGAAATTCTGAACAAGAGATAACCGAGTTTAAGAAAGTTCTGATGAATGCGTTTGAGATGACAGATTTTGGGAAAATGATTTTTTTTCTAGGAATGAAATTTATGTACTCTGAGAAAGGAATCATTTTGTATCAGATGAAGTATGAACTTGAGCTTCTGAAGAGATTTGAGCTAGAAAATTGTAAAGTTGCTATCACCTGCTGATACGAATCATAAGTTGGACTTTGATTCTGATGGAAAGGATGTGGATGCTATAACCTTAAAATAAATAGTTGGTTCTCTAAGGTATTTGTGTAATATCAGACCTGTGTACTTGGAAAGATGTATACTTGGAAAGATATATACAATTGCAGTTGAAATGGTCAGCATATTTATGAGTAAATTAAAGTGGTCTCATTACCAAGTTGCTGTCAGGATTCTGAGGTATGTAAAGGAAACTCTGAAGTATGGAGTGTTATTTCCGTCTGAAAGAAAGATCGAATCAAAATTTCTGAGTTATTCAGACTCTGATTGGTACGAAGATAGGGTGGACAGAAGAAGTACTTCTGAATACTTATTTAAATTTCTAGGAGGTCCAATTTTTTAGTGTTTCAAAAAGCAACAATCTGTAAAACTGAATATATTACAGACGCTCTGACTGTATGTCAAACTGTATGGATTCTGAACTTGTTACAAGATCTAAAGATTGAAGTAGTCAAATCTCTGAAGTTGGTGATTGATAACAAGTCTGCAATCAATCTTGTCAAAAACTCAGTGCTACATGAGAGAAACAATCTTTATTAAAATCAAATATCACTTTCTGAAGAATCAAATTTAAAATAAAATATTAAAAGTTGTGCACCCAAAAACAACTGACAGATATTCTAACAAAACCTATTAAGACGGATTAATTTCTTTACTTGAGAATGAAATTAATATTGTCAGTTTTAGATAAAATATAAATTAAAAAATAGTATTAAATTTAATCTATATTTTAAAAATATATTTTAAATATTAATTTATATTTTAAGAATATTTTAAAAAAAAATATTATTATATCTTTGAGTCATTTAATATATTCTTTTATTATCTCTTTTTTTTCACCAACCGGATTGAAACATTACAAGCCTATACCATAGGTTAGTGCCCCTTTTGTATCAATCACGCTCCATTTAATTGAAATTACTGCTAAATAAACCGTTTTAGAGTTAGGGGGCATGTAAACACCGTCACCATAGTTGATGCTTTTCTTAAAAAGAACATATAGGATTACCTCTCATTTCAAATAATACATTATCGAACATCTATCTCAAAATCAATTCTAAAAAAAAATTAAAATAAAAAATAAAAAAAACAATAATTCTACATTCATAACAAGTTTTCATCAGAGCTACTAACTTACAATACAAAGCTATTATGTTATATCAATTACATACAAAAACAGTCATGGTGATTGAGATAAACCACACTTGTTAATCAAATATTACATTGGGATCATCTGTTGAATCTGCTGCTGCCTATTTGGAATGTTGCAATTGAAACGCGAACAAGACCACGCTTTGGTCTCTGATAAAGGCACAACTGGAATATTATCACAATTGCAGATTTCAATCATGGTGCCATCTGGATCATGGAAGAATAACTGATCAACGTATATCCCATTTTCCTCTACTCTATTCTTCACATACTCTATCTTCATCTCTTGCAGTTTTTTCTCGACCGCTCCCATACTCTCACACTACCAACAATAATTCACATAATAATAATAAGTATACAATATATGAATGAATAAACTATGGTTTTAATTTAAGGTTGTAAAGATGTATACTTGGAAAGATATGTGGTTGTCCTTTGGATTGATGTGTGGATTCTTGGTCATGTGTTCTGGATCATCTGATTGGAGAAGGTGTATGCCAATGCCATAATTAAACAACCTGATTAATTAAGCCAAAACGTGATTAGTATATGAAATAATGATGTGTATTAACTACTAAAATGATAGTACATACCATGCACCATTGAAGTTTAAGGAGGTAGGTCTCTTAATTGGAACGAAGCCAAGAACGTTGACGTAAAAATCAACTGATTTTTCTAGTGATTTACACACCAAGGAGATGTGGTTAAGTGATTTGAGCTGTAGAGGATTTCCCATTGAAATTAATCAGACAGAACAACAACGACAACGTTGAATTGAAAGCAATATCGGTGGTTGAAGGATGGAATAATTAACATTGGGTGGAGAATGAAATGTGTTATTTATAGGGGAGTTGTTTTTGGCAAGAGTATGAAAGTTTGTTTAAGCAGGTTTTGGAAGTTTCATGTTTGTATTTAGGATTTGGATGTTGTTACACGTAGATGTCGCGTTGGTGAATCAGGACGCGACATCAAATGCAATGCTTATCTGGATTCATGACACGTAAGTCTGTGCTTGTCTTGGTCAATTGTTTTTAGCAGATGAGAAAAAGGAAATGTGTGTCTTTCTTTGAGATAAGGATGAATCCTGCAAATGAGATGGAAATCATGTGCAGAGACAAGCTACCAATTGCGAATTTTTAATCTGTTTGGTGTCTTATCCTTCAATGCTAACACTAAATCATTTTTATTGTTTCTTCTTATTATTTTAATAGTAATTTTTATATGTTTTATAAAAATATTTATTTGGTGTATATTATTTTTTTTATTAATTGAACAACTACCAGACTAAAAGTATGTTTTGTGAGAGTGCGATCCATTGACCACTTCTTTGAGCCCTAGACGTAAAAGTTTTTTTATTTTTGAAAAATTATAACTTTGGATCAATTTTTAAAGAAAAATAATGTTTATATTCGTCTTAAAGATATGAGAACATTAGAATTTTAAGGGTATAAGAAAATGATAAAGTTGATGAGAAAGGAAATATTTAAAAAAGAAAAAGAAATTGAGTAGTAAATCGTGATTGAAATCTGATCAAAGAAAAAGAATATATTTTGACAAACAAAAAGAAAAAAGAAAGAAAATATTAAAACATCAATAAGAAATTACTAGGAGAGGAAGTTGAAAGATGGAAAAAGAAAGAAAACGTTTCAAACAAAAAAGAAAAACATCAAATATTGCTCTCTTATCTATTAGGCACATTTGAAATCTCAGAAAAATCAATATTTTTGTAGTCTAACCACATTACAACAAAAAAATAAAGACCTTAGTGATCTATGATTGATTATGTATTATGTGATATTTCTTATATGAAGTGAAAAATATTTTTATAGTTGATCCATGATCTGATAAATGAGAAAAACACTAACTCATTTGAGTGATACCACGCGTGAGATGATGATTTTAATGAACAATTTACTATTGATTTGAACATCATTCAAGCCCCAAATTTGGCTAAGCCAAAAATAGGCAACATAAGTTGGCTAAGCTAGAAACACGCAATAAAACTGACTAAGCTCGAAAAAGTTGGCTAAGCTAAAAACAGGCACCTGTCTTGGCACAAAAAATATCCAAGCATAAGGAACGCTCGAAATACAACAGAGTTGTCATCGAACTTTATTTATTTCAAATGAAAGGGAAAATATCGATAAAACCCACAAAAGAAAAGAAAAATGATCGTCGTAACCAGATCGAGTTTCGAAGTCAATTATGCAAAAGGAGTGTATTAGTATCCCTCACATCCTTTGTATTCAACGAGATCCATATAATTAGTCTTACGAATGAGTGTAAGTGTGATGTTAGTTTGCGATCTTCTAATTATTAAGCGAGAAAACGAAAGAAAAACACTTTTAGGTTTTTTTATTATTGTGCTCGCCAAAATTTCAAAACCACGTGCCTACGTATTCTCAGGTGCAATGAGAAAATCAAATATTTTTAGTTTATGGTAGAAAACTACGAGTTTGTTGGTTGATTTTAGTGAATGGTGTTTGATCACATTCGTGCGGTTAAACATTGTTTATTGCTTGTAGATGGGAGGCTGAAACGTTTGTTTGTTTCACATAGAAATTGATCCTTATTTGATCACATTTGAGTGATTAAACATTGTATGTTGCTCACACATGGGAGGCTAAATCATTTGTTCGTTTCTCATAGGAATGGATAAAACATCATTCGTTTATGAATTTTTTTCGCAACCGCGCTAAGGCAAAAAAGAGTTTGATGAGTTGAAATTGATTTTTTATGGAGTCGAGTAACCGTTTGAACAAGGTATGCACCATGACATCGTTTACTCAATGTTTCAAAAGGATGTGCATCCAATTATCCTTTTCGTCCTGGTTTATGAAAATTTATTTTTACGGAATATGAGTAACCGTTTGAACAAGGTGTGCACCTTGTGCTCGTTTACTCAGATTTCAAATGGATGTACATCTAACTGTCCCTTTATCCCAAGTTTAATTAAAGTATTTTAGGTTGAAAGACCAATATTTGTTTTGAACAAAGTGTGCACCTTGCGCTATACTATTAAGGTTTCAAAAGAGTGTGCATCCAATTGTCCTTTTGTCTCTCAACTTTATTGTGAAAAGATTTGAAAGCGTAAAACAACTTGATGTTAGATCAAGTGCTTAACTGATTATGAAAATATTTGAATTAATAGAGAAAAAACCACTTGACGTTAGATCAAACATTTGCATTGCGTTCGATTAAATTTGATTCGGAAAAAAAGTTTGACATTGGATCAAGCATTTTTGTTCTTTTTGAAAAATAATTCACTTTTAGTCCTAATTCTTGGTTAATCTAAGATAATCCTAAAATTAAAGATATTACTAAAATTAGAGGAATTAAAATCTAACACTAAAATTAGTCTACAAAACATAAAATGATTAATACAAAATAAAAAGGAAATAAAAGCATAAAAACAAATAAGAAAGCAAAGAAGAAAAAATAAAGTAGAAGGAATGTGCCATAAATAAGGAAGGGCGCTAAATAAAAATCCTAATATGTCTAGCCTAAAAGAGGAGTCAAAGAAAGAGAATTTTTTAATCAATCTCATGCTTTTCTAGCACATCACGCGGAATTCTAAAAATATCCCCAGAAATTGAAAATGCATTTTCTGTACGCACTCCACACATATAATTCATTCATTTTTTAGATTCGCCCTATTTTAAGATAAATTATATTCTGCAAATGCACTTCCGGAAATTTTCGAAAATGTACTTCCGGTAGAAGGCTTTATATATTTGAGTAAATAATTAAGATATTGAAATACAAGGATAAGTGTACGAGCTCGTTTAACAGTGTGTTTTAGCCATATCGTGTACATATGTTCCACTAATATGTGTTAAATGATGTCTATAGTTGTGATAATAGTTATTACGGTTTAGTGGAAGATTTTACCTTTTATAAATCACGTTGAGCTTTACATATTAATTATTGCTTGTTTTTCATTTTTATGAAAGTGTTGTTGAGTGTGTTCATTGCTTGAATTATATTGTCCTATCGGAAGTGTATTTCTGAAATAAAGTCTGTCGTAAAATGAGGCGAATTTCAAACTCGGATGAATTATATGCGTTTGGGGTGCGTACTGTAGCGATAAAAAATGTAGCGGGGTAAATCGGAGATCGAACTATTAATTAATTCGTCTCACAAAAGCAAGAGTCGCCACCGCGCTTTATTGTTTCCAAGGGAAAAGAGCGAAATAAAACCCTAAAATATGCAATGTAAAATAATACTTTAAAAGTAATAAAAATACAAGGCATTTTGAAAAGAGGTATAATGTTCGGGGGTTGGTTATACAATGGGAAGGTATTATCACCCAATGTATCTATAGTATTCTATAGGAACCTTTTGAAATATCTGTTTATTAAAATGTTTGTTTGATTAAAAATAAATTATTTTGGCCAAAAATAGGTATGGACGAGTTTTTGAAGATACGACGACCTAATGTCGAAGTTTTGACTTAAAAGGTGTGAGTTTTGAAAAATTGAATATTTGGGAAAATTACCTTAAGTTTTTAATGAAATGAGGGTATTCGCACGATGTTTTTTTGATGACATGAAGTCGACAAAAATTAAACAATTCCCTTGGATTTTGCAAGCAACATGAAAATTAAAACTAAAAGTATAAACACTCCAAGATTTTAAAAGAAAACCAAAAGAGAAGTCATGGAATTAAATCGAAATTATCACAAACTCAACCAACATGTATCATGGGAGGAACATCATAAGGGGGAATAAATTCAAAGAGATATCTTACAAATTTATCAATAAAAGACTAGTTAAAAAAAAACTAACAAAATTAACTAACATGCTGACCAAACGAAATATCAAGATTTAAATAAATTATAAAACTAAACTAATTAATTGGGTTTTGTCTAAAACTATGTGATTATTTAATTTTTTAAACCAAAAGAGCTAAGGAAAACAAAAGAATAAGAGGGTAAATTAAAATATGTGGTAAGCATGAAGGTACTGGGCGCTAAAGCCTAACTGAAATGAGACCCAAGGTTTTGTTTTGGTTACAGCCAGCTCCAGATTACAATTGACAGGATATGTGGGAAATGAGCTGAAAACGAAATAAAAGGTCCAGCATGAGATTGAAATAGAAATCGAACAATGCTCCTTCGAACTCTCTTTTTTCTCTCTTCGAACTCCCTCTTTCAAACTCTTCGAACTCCCTCTTTCGAACTCTCTCTTTTCGAACTCTTCGAACTCCCTCTTTCGAACTCTGCTTTTTCTTTCTTCGAACTCCCTCTTTCGAACTCTCTCTTTTCTCTCTTCGAACTTCCTCTTTCAAACTCTGCTTTTCTCTCTTCGAACTCTCTCTTCCGGACTCTGCTTTTCTCTCTTTCGAACTCCCTCTTTCGAACTCTGCTTTTCTCTCTTCGAACTCTCTCTTTCTAACTTTGCTTTTCTCTCTTCGAACTCTCTCTTTCGAACTTTTCTTAAAACGAAATCGAACAATACCAACAATGAATCCTGCTCCATCAATTCGAACTTTTATCACTCTCTAAATCAAAAACGAACAACAACACTGCTTCTGGCTTCGAATTCTTCCTAAATCAAAACGAATAACACACTGTTTCTAGTTTCGAACTCCTTCCTAAGTCAGAACGAACAACACCACTGTTTCTAGTTTCGAACTCCTTCCTAAGTCAGAATGAACAACACCACTGTTTCTAGTTTTTTTTTGCGGTTAAACGTCAAATCAACAAAGCAACAAATATTCATGGCAAGAGAAACA